TACCCGTCTCCATGGACAGATGAGCATTTGCTCACTTTAAGTACCACCTTATTGGAGGGAAATCAAATTACAGAGCATGGCCTCCTCTAGCTGTCAATTTAAAATCAGGGGGAAATAATGAGATCATGGTAAGGGAGGACTAAATTGCGTGTTATAAAATGTAAGTGCTTGATATGCTTAAAGGAGACAAAACACAAGGAAACCTGTGTCGATGATCGTAAGTTGGATTGAGGTGTCAGCAGTCGTGCCTGGTGGGTCTTGAATTAAGTTCCTTGAATTTAGTTTATGGAACTAAATATGGACCCTATGAGTTTCTTCAGCTTTCTCCAAGATAGGCAGTGCCCACTCGATGAGCTTGCAGTAAAAGGACATTTACATAAACACCTGCCATTTTGTGGCTTCTTTTGAGCAGTGTTCACCTGGGGACACTAGATGTGGAAGCAGAGAGTGTGTGGAGTCACTTGGATAGTAACAAAATGAACAGATAAAGATTTCCACATCTGAATGCCTGTATCAATAGTACATATAATACTCACCTTATACAAACCATAAATCACCTTTTGCATTCTCTCATCTATATTTAAGTCCCTTTCATGGGGATTTATATTCCATTACTTGAATCAACGCGTTGCGCTTTTATTCATCTTTTCTGTTTTTCCCCATTTCTCTTCATTTAAAACTCACATCAGGCTATTCTCTTCAATGAACATGTTCACCGTTGCCCATTTTAATAAACAGAACCATTACAGAAATACTTAGAGCTGGAAGGCACCTCAGCGAATCACCTATTTCCACTCTCTCATTTCACAGCTGACAAAATTGAGGTCAAACTAGATTAAATGATTTGCCTAAAGTCACACACTAGATAGAGGCACAGGCCAACTAGGATTATATGACAGTACATTTTACTTTTGTCAATAGATAGTGTTATTCATTCAATATCCATCTACATGGCAGGCACTGTTCTAGGGGCTGGAGGCTAGTACCAGCATAATTCTGCTTGCGTGTTTCTGCAGGGTTCTTCTCCCTGGAGTGTGCTCATTGTGACTTTGTTACACCTTTTTATTTTAATCGTTTTGTTTCTTCATGCTTTAATAGTGTCCTTATCTTCACTCAGTCCCAATTAACTTCCCCAAGCTTCTCATTTAATCCCCATCATCCTTTTCAAGGTACAAACAGGCTCTCCTGATTCAGTGCCTTTCTGCCTCAATATCCGCCACCCACTCGAAAATAATGTTAAGTATAATGAAAATGTTAAACATGGCTGAACCCAGTGTGTGATTATTGTAACTCCAACAGCCAACAAATGTTGCCGTATGTTTTAACTTGGATAATAAAGTGTCACAACCAGAAAAGGAGCAGACCCTTTATCCTGCCCCCTTCCTTTGTTCAATCTTGGTTGGTAAATATTTGCTTCTATTGTAATGAGGACAAGCTTGTAGACTTAAGCCTCTTAAATGGCTGTTAATGGTTATACACAAAAGAGAAAAAGTAGAAAAAATGTTTGCCCTAATTATGAGGCACAACTGTTTGGCCACCTACCTTCCTACAGGCAGTACCTTTCTACCTGCAGCGATTGCATTTGTTCATGGAACATTTGTTTGTTTACTCTATTACTTAATGAATTATTTTCCTTTTACTGCCTAATACTCTCCAATAGTCACCCAGATAAATGTCATTATCTTTTATAGTTATAGACAGAATGAAACAATCTTGTGCTTAATGAACAAAATAAAAATAGCCACAGTGCAGTGTAATATTTGGTAGAGATACTGAAAAATGGCAGTTTGTTTTGCTATTTCAGACTCATAAAAAGTTGCAAATTAATAGAAGCAGGTTTCATATGCTCTTTACCTAGATTAATCAATTGTTTATATTTTTCCTGTATAATTTCTGTCTCATTATATATATGTATATACATTATATATGTGTGTGAATACACAATTCATATGTTTTTCAGAACTATTGAGAATAAGTTGAAGACATAGTGTGCCTTATCCTAAATAGTTTAGCCTATATTTCAGTGTATTTCCTAAGACTAGGACATTCTCTTACATTATACAGAACAGTTATCAAACACAGGCAACTTACTATAAATATAATACCATTATATAATTCATAACCCATATTCATCTACTGTCACAATGTTCTTATTGACAGCTAGTTGTTTCTTCCCGTTGGTCCAAGATCTCATCAAGAATCATGTGATGCATTGAGTTGTCATGCAATGCATTGTTTTTTTGTTTAAAAGTTCGCATTCAGTCACTAATGGCTGAGATAGTCTCCTTTTAAAGTAACCTCTGCTTGCTGACTGCTGTTCCAAGAATAAGTATTTAAGCCAAAGGATGTCTTTAAAAAATCCCTTAGGATTAGTGATATCTGTGCTGAGGAAGTGGCACATCAACTTTGTAACTGTGTCCTAACCACAAGTTTAGGCATTTCCATAGGAGGGAGCCTGGGAAAGAGAAACCCAGAGCTTATCAACACTTTGCAGTTTTGAAATTTAAAACGTGGAGTGATTCTGTGCCATTTCGGCCTACTGGGGCCATTTGAATCGTGTTTAAGAGAGGCTGAGTGGCAAGATTTACAGGGCACACCTAAATCCAACCCTAAATAAATATTTGTTATTTGTCATTCTTGAAAGTAAGTCCCCTTTAAAAAAAAAAAAAAAAACACAGCTGTCCTTTTTTTTTTTTAATTCTCACCTGAGGATTTTTGTTTGTTTGTTTGTTTGTTTTTAATTGATTTTATAGAATGAGGAAAGGGGAGAGAGAGAGAGAAAAACATGGATCAGTTGCCTCCCATACACACCCTGACCGGGGACCGAACCCACAACCTTGTATGGAACGACGCTCCAACCAACTACACTACCTGGCTTTAAATGCCCAACATTAAAATGAATACAAATAGTTCTTTCCTCTAAAAGAGGACAAGAAAATTCAAAGATTTGTAGTATGTATAATGCCTAAAGCATGCAGTGTTTCTCTTATTCTGTAAATAGAATTACGATTAGGGCTGTAACATTTCAGCAGTTTGATCTCTGGCTACTGTTGAGCTGCAGTAATCCTAAGTCTCGGCTGTTTTTTCCCCCATGTCAGGCCTTCTTCTAAAACTGAATAAAAGGAGCATGGAAGAGTCATCAGCTTTCTTGACTACGAATGCATAGAATATTTTTTGAAAAATATATAAATCTACCTAAACAGATTCATGTTTGGGGGTTGTTGATTTTTTTAAGAGGAATTGTATAAACACATAAAAGTACCAAATCTCAATGCCAGTGCTCTGAGTCAGACCTGCTGAGACTCACTACTGAAAAGCCAGATAGATGACGCAAGGTGTGAAATCGTACTGTGCTGTTTCCCCTTTTTCCTCTAAAATAGAGATAGATGTTTATAGGTACAAGAGACAGAAATTAGCAACCAGAAAAATACTAGGCACATCTATATTCAGCACATAGATTAAAAACAAACTCATTGTTTGTCCCCTACAGAACAGGCTTGCTCATTCATCCTTGAGATAGATATGCATGCAGAACCAACATGAAATCAGATCCCTGCAGATGGCTCATAAGTCAAAAAAACAGTTTAATCCTTTCACTGCATCCCTTAGGGAAGCCTTCCCCTCGGTAAGCAATAATGTACAATACATAGAATGCCTGGTGCTCCCTGAGTTTTTTAGTAGAACACTTTCGTTTTCTCTAATGGGTCTGCCCCCCCCCCCCCCCCGCCATATTTCTTGTCACTCTGTTACCTTAATATCTACATCTATAGAATGTTATTGTAGTTTCTGTTTTAATTTTTTTTTTAAGTGTCAGGAGCCTGGAACTATGTATAGAAATCTTATCTAAAATTGATTGTGCCTCAAAGTCATGTATTAAAAGGCAGCCACGCAAATCTGAGCCCATTTTTACATTGCTCTTTCTAATGGATTTTATTAGAGAACAGTTGAGTTTCAAGCAGGAATTAAAACGAAAGCAGACCTCAGAAGCTTAACCATTGAACAGATGCAGTAAACGCAGCTTTGGAAATAGAGCTGTCAGCTCAGATCTTTCCACCCAGCACCTACGTGAGCCAGTCCCCAGAGCTGCTGGCGTCAAAGTGCTGTTCTGTTGAGGAAAGGCATCACCAGGACTCTTAAAACTGAGTAACACGCCGATTAGGAATCTATGTTTACATATTTCATTTCTTCTTGGTTTTCATTCTACCTAAACTTTTTTAAAGAGTAAAAATGATGAGAACTTATGCTAAAAGGCCCTTGTCTCTAGCACTATGAAATTTTTTATTTGTGAGTTGCTAGCTTGTCAAACCAAATCAGAAATTCTTGATATCTTTATTACATTAAAGCAATTCCTGATATTAACTCTTGGGAAGGACTTGGTTTTCTTACTCTATAAACTGAAAGTTGTACTATTTTTCTCCTTACCCCTGACAGGTTTATTTTATGTATAATCTACCTTTCTAGATACTAAATAGTATTAGGTTATATCTGGACACTGATTTGGCTCTGAAAATAGGCAAATATGTGAAATATATTGAAGTGCTCCTAACTTTAGTGAAAATATAAAATTTAAAAGTATCATGATGTGTATAAGGTTGATTTATAACAATCATATTGATAATATGTAGCACTAGGCATTCAGTTGATTAATAATTGTATGGTTTCTCTTTAATGAATATGATAATGTAATATTCTCAAACAATGTCTGCCTAAATTAGTATTTCAGTTTTCCAACCAAAAACTATAATGTCAAAAGCATAATTAACTTTCCAGAAAATCAGTGTTTGAACTACTCAGAAAAAAATCTTGATCTCTAGCTTTTCAAAACAACTTATAAATCCCTGTCTAATACTATATATATACATATATTATATTTTATTTGGATGTATTGCAAGATTTTTAAGTAGAAATAATAAAATGTATCAGTTATATTTATGACAATCTGAAGTGATTCTAAACTATGTGTAGTCACCTAACCACTGTGCATACTCTTTCCTTTTTAGAAAAAAAAAGAAAGAATCTGAAAGAGAGAACAGAGACCAAAATACCCCAGCATTTCTAACATAACCGTAAGTACTTTTATGACATAGTAATTATACTAGGGCTTCTATGCAATTAGAAGAGTTTCCAAAATTCTTTTACAGAAATATTCACCTTTCTATTTGCTAAGAAGAGAAATTAACATAGTAAGCAAGTGGAGCCTTCTATCACTCTTCAATTTACTGGAGTAAACGGAAAATCACTTATCGTATAATCGTCTTAGATAAGAGGCCAGGGCAATCCTGGTCTTACATCTATGTGGCAGAAAATGTTTATGTTGGTTTCATCGTAACTTTTGACTAGCATCAAATCTTTTTAAATTCTAAAGAAGAAACAGAAGGAATAAAATTTAATCAGAGCCTCACATTTTCTGTATGTGATGCAAAATTTTTTCATGTTGAACAAGATTTGAAACAGAATCAATCTACTTGGTGTGTTTTTAGGCACTCAGAATTATGAAATAATGGTCACCATCTGCAAGCTTAAAATTTATAGCTTCATCTCATGCGTGTGTTTCTTATCCATCTTCTCACAACTTAACTGCGATGTGTCTTTTCTAACATAGCTGTTACTTGACAGTAATAATTATCTCCCTAAATATGATTTTACTGAACTAAATGAAATGTATTCTTGATATCATTTTTACGGTAAAATTGCTAATATTAAAGTGATTTCCTAGAGGTAAACATTATACATTTTGAATATGTGAATATCAAAATAATTTTTTAAAAGATCAAAAGCAAAATCCACGCTGATGCCCCTTTTTATATCACCTTTAATGCCATGGTTCTTTTGAAATGAGTTTGTACATGCAATTCTCTCACATTTAAAACAAACACTAACGTAAAATGTAGTGAATTCACAAAATTATAGCTATATATAAATGGGAAGGATGTGTGATATAAATAAATTCATAAGTAATTTTTCTAGGATATACAAATTACACTTACATAATAAAATTTTCTAGCTTCCCCTAAAAAATAATCTTAATGTGTAAATCACATCTTAGTTTAAATGATTAAACATAGTCCTGGCCACTTTGGCTCAGCAGTTGGAGTGTAGGCCTGCGGTCCAGAGAGACCCGGGTTTGGTTCCCGCTAAGGGCACATACCTCGGTTGCAGTTTGTCCCCGGCCCTGGTTGGTCGTGCAGGTGGCAGCCACTCGATGTGTCCCTTCACGTCGATGTTTCTCTCTCTCTCTCTCTCCCTCCCGCTCTGTCTGAATAAAAAATGTCCTCGGGTGAGGATAAAATAAAATAAAATGCATGATTAAACATAATTAATCATGGTTATGATGATACAAATTTAATTTATCTTTAACCAATGTTATTTATATTCAAGAGAAGCAGTAGGAGGGTTTCTCTACTTCCCTGAGTATTAATCATGTCCAGTTTCACTTTCCACAAGCACTCGACCTCAATTTTTCTAAGTTATGGATGGCTATACACTTTAAATTTTTAAACCTGAGATTCATAAGACCCTTCAAAAACTGTTCCTTCATTTGATAATTAAGCTCCAAATATGTGAAATGCTGTTTTGAGGTGACTGAATGAGCTTACATAGCTCTGGATGTAAGAAAGATAATTTAAGAATCAGATTTTAATGGAAGCAAACTCTGCTGATTTGAATAAATTGCAAAATGTGAAATAAATGAGCAATTGTTGATATTTTTTTCAACATCTTACTGACCAGAGTTAAGTAAGTCATTCACCCACAACACAAACATTTCTCAATACCTAGCAATTGCCCCGCAAGAAGACTGGGCTCTCTTTAAGTTTTGTTTTTCATGTACATAATTCAGTTTCTAAACATAATCTCAATTCCGTACATTACTCATTGTACAAAGGTCGAATTTTTAATGACAGAACTTTGAAGCTTTTTATATAAGAGCCAGGTATTATCTACCTTACCCCGTCTCAGTTTCTTATAATTTCACTGTAAAAAGCTATTAGTGGCCATTTTTCTGATCTGATTTATCTGTGCTATTTGGTCCATTATTTAGGTATGACATATAAGTTATTTGATTTGAACTGCAATTTTCATAATTGTATTGAAATTTGATTTATTATGGCAAACTTTGGAGGGAACTGATTCCAGTAATGAGTCCTGCTCATTGGAACAATCCCAGAAAAAATAATGTACATGTTTTCAAGAAAGAAAGCATGCCTTTTTTTGGTGCATTTGTGGTTTGAAGCAGTTTTTTCTTTCAGGCTGTAATTGTCTTTTATTTAACAACTACAGACTAAATCACTCATAAATAACTCAATTTAAGCCCGAATAATAAAAAGGGGCAATTTACTCTTTAATTTTTTTTTTTATTATTGACTTTAAAGAGAGAGACAGGGAAAGGGAGAGGGAGAGAGAGAGAGAAACATCGATGAGAGAGAACATCGATTGGCCGCCTCTTGCATGCCCACCACTGGGGATCGGGCTCACAACCTGGGCATGTGCCCTGACCAGGAATCGAACCAGCGACCTCTTGGTGCATGGGTCGACGCTCAACCACTGAGCCACACCGGCCAGGCTATTCTTTAAAATTTTTATATAATGTTTAGGAAGAGAAACATTGTCAAAACATAAGTGTTTTAATATTTGTCTTGACCTCCAAAGAGTTCATGACTTAGACAGAGGTGTGAGCACACGGAACACAGCATGATGTAAGGTGAGGCCATGGATAATGCAGTGACTATTTTTCTTGTATTTATTTAGAGCAGTGGTTCTCAACCTTCCTAATGCCGTGACCCTTTAATACAGTTCCTCATGTGGTGGTGACCCCCCAACCATAAAATTATTTTTGTTGCTACTTCATAACTGTAATTTTGCTACTGTTATATCTTAGGCGACCCCTGTGAAAGAGTCGTTCGACCCCCAAAGGGGTCGCGACCCACAGGTTGAGAACCACTAATCTATAGGATATGTGCTTGTGTTATAAACCCATCAATGATAAGTGAGTTTTTACTATTTGTATTTGAATCAAACATATAAATGAAAGATTTTTAGCATAGAAAGCCATACAAATCTATTATTTTTCCTCAAAGCCGATAGCTTTAAAACAATTGGGTAGGTGATTAAAATATTACAAAAGATTCTTTAGAGGACAATGAAATTATACTTCATAAAATTTTGTGCTTAAGAAAGTTAAGGAAAGATAAGAAAAAGAACCTTTGGAAATCGTATTTTAAAGTAATTTTTCTCTCAATTACTGAACACTCAGTGGGACTTTCAAGAACTCCATGGGTCGTCTCTCTGCAGACTCTGAATACACTGGATAATAATAATAACAAAGAGGATGCATTTACAAAACTGCTGGTGGTTGATGTTCTCACTCAAGGCATGACTATTATTAACAATCTTGCGTTCCTGACACACCAAATAGGAAAAGAAGTATTCAGTAAGAAAGGTCCTAATGCAAAACACATTTAACTAGGAAAGTATTTTGTGGTTCATTAGAAAATAAATGTTATTTGCAAATGCCCCTCAGAAATTTAACTTAGTCAAACCTTTTTTATTTGAAGTAACAAGTCCTTATAGTAAAAAAGTATAGACACATAGACACTTGTATGTGTAACAGTAGCATGCAGCTAGGGAAAAAAATGTATCTATTCTAATTGCCTCATTTATAGACATTACCTCCTTTAATATTCTTATTTTAGAAGGACAGATAAGTGAAGTCATTTACAGCTAGTGGTAGAATCAAGAGAAATTCTGCCTTAACTAACCAGTCTCGATTGTTCTAGCCACCATATTAACTGAAAATGCTTATATAAAAATTGAGGATCTCTAATTGGTTCAAGAAGTCTCTTAAAATTTAAACTTCTTTTAACCAACACTCTAATAAAATTTTATGTAAATAACTCTGTCTAGTGTCTACCTGCCCAAAACTTTATTTTGACATAGCTCATTAGGATGATGTTTATAGTGAAAAGAATTATGTACATATATAGACACAGAGAGTTCAGGAATGTGAGTCTGGGCTTCATCCAATCCCCCTTCCACAATGAAGAGTCCAGTAGCATAGGGGAAGGCAATGATGTTCAAGATCACATACCTATAAAACTACTGGATCATAATAATACATAATAATGCATATATATATATATATATATATATATATATATATATATACTCTTCCATCAGTAACAGTTAAGCAATTACCTCTTTGATTCTTTGTTTTCTTATCTGGATAATTTTTTAAAATCTTCCCAGTCTACTTCCCAAGATTTTCTAAGATCAAATTAGATATATGGGTATCACTGTGATGATGTTTAATGATAAAATTTGGCTCCTCCATTGTTATATAAAACCTTACATTATATTACTGTAAAAAGAAATTCTTTCGTGTGAATATTTTCGTTTGCTGCTTTGCGAATCCAATATAGTATTTGCAAAAGTGCATTGCTGATTGATTTCTGTTTTAGACAATAATGGTTATCTAGAAAAAAAAATCCTGTTAATTTATACTTTATCCCGATTACCTTTCTTAAGCATGGGCCTAAAAGGAAGAGAGCTGGTAAAGGAAAGAGGTACATTTATTGGGCTCTTAGTTTGTGTCAGATGCTCTAGTAAACAGGATTAAATTTCATTTTATTATCAAAATAAGTCTTTCTATATTATTACAGTGTTATAGATGATGAAAATGAGAACTGAAAGCTTTAGGAAGTCATCCTAATGAGTAAACAGCACAGCTACCATTTGAACTCAGGTCTGTCTGATTATCCCTCCTTGCCAAGGTATTACTCTTAACTGAGCACATTACAGCTGATGGAGGCATATTTCATTTTCCCGTATGAATGATGGCATGGTGGGAGGAGGTGGAAATAATGAATATAGCACTTTTTGAAATGTCATTTGTCTATGCAAAATACATGTGATATACATATAACATTACTTTTCTTTACTGCTTATCATCAATAAACATTAGATTTCATCATTTGTATTTGTCCTTCAGATGCTAAAATTAAACCATGAGAGGAGAATTTAATTATTAAAGACAGCTATCTTTAGATAGAAAACGTAGAACCAAAATTGA